GCGAGAAGACCGAATATGCAAGGTCTGCCAGGCAGGAGAAATTGAAACGGAACATCACTTCCTAACATCCTGTGAAGCCTATAGTAGTCTCCGAGAAAGCTTTTTAAATGACTTGGAAAGTGATCCCACCAATGAAACAGATTTAAACGAACACAGTTTATCAGTTGAGATAATGAAATCAACTGATAAAGAAACCGTGATAAAATTATCAAAATTTATCTCTTTATGTTTTGAGAAAAGATCTAAATGCCTTGAAGCTCGGAATGCTGACAGTCAATAGGCTAATCGAACTAACTCCCAAACTTCTTCAATTACATATACTGTATACTGTAAATAGAGTATTCATTTGTTAACTATGCCTTTCTTTATATCAATAACTTCATTTTTATTTCTTGTATTACTCACAGTGTCATATTACCACAGAAAATTTTGCATTTGTAACTATTTATAATTAACTAATAAGCTTTAGCAATACTTGTATGTGAAGTCATGCTAATAAAGCCATTTGTTACTGTTACTGTTACGATAGCGCCTATCTACCGAATAGTGTATTTTTCAACTGTTTTAAAAATACTTGAAAAGCTGTAAAACTACGGATATGCATATACCTCACAATCAATAAAAAAAGAAAATTTAATTTACAAGTACTAACGTGGGTAAAACCAATGAACGGCCGGCAATTTTGAAACCTTGTGGATAGATTGAATGCAGCCAAACAAGGCAGGTTTGAAGCCCCAATTCACTCCATCTTTTTAGTGTAATAAGTGAAATTGAAAAAAAATCAAATTTGGAGATCGTTAGTTCTCACTTTAATTTCTATCATAATAATACACATGAAAACATTTCTCAATTCTGATTGGCTAAGAGTAGTCCAATTTTTTCGAAATACAGTACCAAAAAATAATTTCTAAATGTGACTTACGCACGTGACTGCATAATTTTTTCATGTATATTATTAGTAATAAGTCATGGTTTCTCGTGCAATTTGAAAAAAAAAACACACTCGTGAGTTTTTCAAAGGCTTCAAACTCTCGTGCAATTGTGATAGTCTTTGAAAAACTCACTCGTGCATGTTTTTTCCAAATTGCCCTCGAAACCATACTATTACCTATACTTATATACTGGAATATGCAAAAAGATTGAAATTGTCAATGACAAAAAAATTAATGCAGATTATAGACCTTAGTGTTCCGTGTTCCCAATAAAAGTATACAATATATGAATAATGAATGTCTATAGGTGCAATGGTAAAAAAATATTTTCGTGAGGTGAAATATGGAATTTTCCAGTCACGACGCAACAGTCGAGTGCAATGGGAAATTCCATCTTTCATGAAAATATTCGTTGTTTATTTTAAAACTCCAAAATAAATCAATGTTATCGATTTTTTATTGAATTGAATACAAAACAAATGCATATACCTGAGTTGCAAGTACAATGTGTAAAATTAATAGATATCCAAAATTACAAATATATGTCCCAAAAGATATTTGGGTGAAGAGTAAATATAATATTGATTTAACTCAACATTGTCGTAAAATAATGTTTTGTTGTAATTTTTACACCCGCCATTCTACTTCTCACAAACTATACATCTAAATTTTATTCCATCGGCCTCATGAAGATTTGGGTTATATGAGCTACGATTAGGGTACGAATAAGATTTTGACGAATGGAATTTAACGAAACCCAAACCGTGCAATGGAACAAAACGTATAGTACATGAGCGTCGAATGGAACGCTTTCCATTGCATGCTCAGCAAAATGGGATATTTGATTCAGTATCACGTGATCATAATCAGCCGGTTAAATTACCAGAATATAATAAAGTATTATATTAAAACGCATACTGTAAAAGTACCTCATCATACAAAAGTCCCACAAGTTCCCTGCTTCCCAGATAGCCTTCAAAACGAATGACAATTTAATATTGTTTAGATATGGCATTTACAATCTAAGCGAATCATTGTAATTTTGCTTTTAAGTTCTTTGTAGGTTTGCATGGCGAAAAAACATAATACTTTTATTTGTGGAAACACCACGTCAATTGTATTAATGAATTAATAAAAAAACGTAAATTGTATTAATTGTATTAATTTTATTATTTATTGCAGTAATAAGTTTACGTGCTGTTTCCACAAACAAAAGTATTATATAATTTTGCTTTTGATCATCAATTAACCCTTAGGACGCAATGCCGTGCATTAAATAGCTAAGGTTTACGTTATTGTCAATTTTCATTACTATTTAGGTGGCTATGATAAACTCATTAAGATTTGGGATCTTCGTCATACATCGCAACCTGTAATGTACTTCGAGAAAGGTTCGTTTCGTATATCTGTGTGCGTATAATTAATTTATAACCAGACAACTCAAATTCATGCGGCTATTTCTGTGTGGGTAGAGTTTAGCCCTGTTTCTCACATCTAGATAACACAGCCTTCCAGAAAGTACGTCACTTGGCGGACACTGCGGATCCGGGGGAGGGCGGGGCAACCGCCTCCCTCCAATAATTTCTGTTTATAAAATCTGAAAGCCTTTGAATAATAGCTGAATAATTGTGTAGCAAAGCTGAAACAATCATTTTTAGGCTACAAATTAAGCTATATGTTGCATGAAATTTAAGGCAAGAAAAGTTTTATTACACAACTAAGTCCTGGTTCAGACGTCGAATTTTGCATGTGTCCAATCAATTCGGCCAACCTCGTTCCCAGGGCCCTTTTTGAAAATATTTTCAAAAAAGGCCCTGGGAACAAGGTTGCAATTCGGTTTGGACGTTGCCTGGAATGGCGTAAAGCGCAAGACATACAAGAATCTCATTTATAAGAATACTAATTTATAAGGCTAAAGTAGGCAAAATTTAAATAATTTACTAAGAATATACCCAAGATTATTCAAAGAACACAGGTCAGGGGAAAGTATGAAAGTATATGCTACTATGCTGTGATGAACTATTGCAAACAACTCGAAAAGTATCTTTTGGTATTGTACGTCGTAAGAATATTTAATTTAGGGTTAAATTTGTCGGGAAAATAAAATATCCAAAGATTTATCTTTTTCCAAAGTGGCAACATGTGACATTTCAATAACATTACATGAAGTCTTTAAGATTCGCCTAACCGATTTAAATTTGACACATGCAAAATGCGATGTCTGAGACCACTTGGCACCGTACGGAATAGCGTGTTAATAGTGGTCTGGGTCGCATCGTTTAATTTTCTTATCATTATCATGATCTGATTAAGCATTTTATTCCCTTCCAGTGTGGAGTTACCGTCTTACTTGGCCAGTACATTGGGGGTTATTGGTCTACAATACGGACGTGATATCTCGAATAAAGAGCACACGTTGTTTGGATTATCATTTTAGTTCTCCAAGTGATAAAAACATCCGCCACACTTCCTCCTGTTATATAACCCACAGTGCCACAGGATGGGTAAGCATACATGCATTACTATTTGAAAAGGACCTCACCGCCCCCCTCCCCCCCCCCCTACCGGGGCGAAGCCGGGAATAGCGTTGACTGCAGTTGAAAAGTAGTTAAAATTAACTATGCCCAAGGGTATCACTAACTTCTCAAAACGTTTAAAGATAAAGAGCAGAGCCCAGCAAATAACTTTAAAACCAAACATAATAAAAGTAAAATTTTAATTAGCTAACGTTTCGTTGTTTACAATACAA